CTAACAGTGGTACAAATTTCAACAAATTGGTAATGTTAATTCTATTTGAGAAAGAACCTCCTTATTATGTTAAAGAAGATCTGTAATTGCCTTAACGTTTTATAAACATTTTACAATATAGCATAGTTTATACGGGTTTAAAAAAAAGCATGTTTTGTAACCGACTTTTAAATTTTTTTGCTTATAACGAATTCTTGAAATAATACAGTTTTCAAAAAAACTGACAATTTAAGGAAATAATTATAAAAATAAAAAAAAATTATATTTATGTCGTAAAACTGCTCAGTGTGTTAAATTTAATTTTTGGTTTTCGTGTTTTATGTTTTGTTAATATTTTTCAAAAAATTTTGTAATCTTTTTCCAATATTTCAGAAGAAGAAAAAAACAGATCTTAAAATCTTAGTCACATTTTTATATACACACAATGAAATAAGGTCTTGAGTATCATAAGACAAAAGCAGAAATATTGCGCCCGTAGCTCTGCTAGTTAAGATAATATTTCTGAAGTATTTCATTGCAATGTTCCATGAGTCGGACATAGCAATGTTTCTGGGACTTTTTAGCAACATTGCATTGAAATGTTTCCAATGTCTCAACGAAATGTTGTAGTAATATTGCTGCAATATTACGTGTTATGTGGGAATAGATAACATCAGTTTCGATAGTTGGCTCAGATGAAGAGCATTTTGAAATACGAAGCAACAAATAAAGATGATATTGTAATCATAAAAAATTTTAAGACCGATTGAACTTAGCAATTATGAAAATATAATCTGCTGTTTATTTATAAGTGCCAAAGGCAAAAACATAAATTATAAATCAGATGGCTTTGATTATGATGTAAAATAATGTTTATTGTATTAACTTTAAACGATAATGAAAAAAATAATTTCTTTGTTCAAGAAGAAAGATTTGCTTTTGCGCTTAAAAATTAGAGGTGTGCAAAAAGCTTGAATGGCCGAGCCGGCATATTATATGAGTGCCCGAGCGCGGCTCGATGTACCAAGTACTCGAATTATTCGGGTACCCGAATCCACTCAAGTACTCGAAAATTTCGGGTATTCGAAAATTTCAGGTACCCGTAATTTTGGAGTACTTGCACCAGTTTCAGGGAATTTAGGTTTCCATCAAAATAATCATAGCTATAGACAATCACTAAAGTGCACCCGTTCAGGAGCGGGACTCTGAGTTAGCGCGCACTATAATAGCGCCACTATAATAGCGATCACTATAATAGTGCCATAGCGCCACTATAATAGTGCTCACTATAATAGCGATACTATAATAGTGCTCACTATAATAGCCCCACTATAATAGCGCCACTATAATAGTGCTCACTATAATAGAACCACTACAATAGCGCTCACTATAATAGTGCCATAGCGCCACTATAATAGCGCTCACTATAATAGTGCCATAGCCCGACTATAATAGTGCTCACTATAATAGCCCCACTATAATAGTGGCGCTATAACATTATTATAGTGAGCGCTATTATAGTGGCGCTATGGCACTATTATAGTGAGCGCAATTATAGTGGCGATATGGCACTATTATAGTGAGCGCAATTTTAGTGGCGCTATTATAATGAGCACTATTATAGTGAGCGCTATTATAGTCGCGCTATTATAGTGAGCGCTATTATAGTGGCGCTATGGCACTATTATAGTGAGCGCTATTATAGTGGCGCTATTATAGTGAGCACTATTATAGTGGCGCTATGACACTATTATAGTGACGCTATAGCCATAGCGCCACTATAATAGTGCTCACTATAATAGCCCCACTATAATAGTGGCGCTATGGCATTAATATAGTGAGCGCTATTACAGTGGCGCTATGGCACTATTATAGTGAGCGCTATTATAGTGGCGCTATAGCACTATTATAGTGAGCGCTATTATAGTGAGCACTATTACAGTGGCGATATGGCACTATTATAGTGAGCGCTATGTTAGTGGCGCTATTAAAGTGAGCAGTATAATAGTGAGCGCTATCATAGTGGCGCTATTATAGTGGGCACTATTATAGTGGCGCTATGGCACTATTATAGTGAGCGCTATTATAGTGAGAACTATTATTGTGCCGCTATGGCACTATTATAGTGAGCGCTATTATAGTGGCGTTATTATAGTGAGCACTATTATAGTAGCGCTATTTTAGTAAGCACTATTATAGTGTCGCTATGGCACTATTATAGTGAGCGCTATAGCCATAGCGCCACTGTAATAGTGCCATAGCGCTCACTATAATAGTGCCATAGCGCCACTATAATAGTCCTACTATAATAGCGCCACTATAATAGTGCTCACTATTATAGCCCCACTATAATAGTGGCGCTATGGCATTATTATAGTGAGCGCTATTATAGTGGCGCTATAGCACTATTATAGTGAGCGCAATTATAGTGGCGCTATAGCACTATTATAGTGAGCGCTATTATAGTGAGCACTATAATTATAGTGGCGATATGGCACTATTATAGTGAGCACTATTATAGTGGCGCTATGGCACTATTATAGTGACGCTATAGCCATAGCGCCACTATAATAGTGCTCACTATAATAGCCCCAGTATAATAGTGGCGCTATGGCATTAATATAGTGAGCGCTATTATAGTGGCGCTATGGCACTATTATAGTGAACGCTATTATAGTGGCGCTATAGCACTATTATAGTGAGCGCTATTATAGTGAGCACTATTACAGTGGCGATATGGCACTATTATAGTGAGCGCTATGTTAGTGGCGCTATTAAAGTGAGCAGTATAATAGTGAGCGCTATCATAGTGGCGCTATTATAGTGGGCACTATTATAGTGGCGCTATGGCACTATTATAGTGAGCGCTATTATAGTGAGAACTATTATTGTGCCGCTATGGCACTATTATAGTGAGCGCTATTATAGTGGCGTTATTATAGTGAGCACTATTATAGTAGCGCTATTTTAGTAAGCACTATTATAGTGTCGCTATGGCACTATTATAGTGAGCGCTATAGCCATAGCGCCACTATAATAGTGCCATAGCGCTCACTATAATAGTGCCATAGCGCCACTATAATAGTGCTCACTATAATAGCGCCACTATAATAGTGCTCACTATTATAGCCCCACTATAATAGTGGCGCTATGGCATTATTATAGTGAGCGCTATTATAGTGGCGCTATGGCACTATTATAGTGAGCGCTATTATAGTGGCGCTATAGCACTATTATAGTGAGCGCTATTATAGTAAACACTATTACAGTGGCGATATGGCACTATTATAGTGAGCGCTATGTTAGTGGCGCTATTAAAGTGTGCAGTATAATAGTGAGCGCTATCATAGTGGCGCTATTATAGTGGGCACTATTATAGTGTCGCTATGGCACTATTATAGTGAGCGCTATTATAGTGGCGCTATTATAGTGAGCACTTTTATTGTGGCGCTATGGCACTATTATAGTAAGCGTTATTATAGTGGCGCTATTATAGTGAGCACTATTATAGTAGCGCTATTTTAGTAAGCACTATTACAGTGTCGCTATAGCACTATTATAGTGAGCGCTATTATAGTGGCGCTATAGCCATAGCGCCACTATAATAGTGCCATAGCGCCACTATAATAGCGCTCACTATAATAGTGTAATAGCGCCACTATAATAGTGCTCACTATAATAGCCCCACTATAATAGTGGCGCTATGGCATTATTATAGTGAGCGCTATTGTAGTGGCGCTATGGCACTATTATAGTGAGCGCTATAGCACTATTATAGTGAGCGCTATTTTAGTGGCGCTATTATAGTGAGCACTATTATAGTGAGCGCTATTATAGTGGCGCATAGTGAGCGCTATTATAGTGAGCACTATTATAGTGGCGCTATGGCACTATTATAGTGAGCGCTATTATAGTGGCGCTATAGCACTATTATAGTGAGCGCTATTATAGTGGCGCTATTTTAGTAAGCACTATTATAGTGGCGATATGGCACTATTATAGTGAGCGCTATTTTAGTGGCGCTGTTATAGTGAGCACTATTATAGTGAGCGCTATTATAGTGGCGGTATCATAGTGAGCACTATTATAGGGGCGCTATTATAGTGAGCACTAACTCAGAGTCCCGCTCCTGGAGTCATGTGAATATCATCTTCAGAAAATTTTTGTTTCTTTAGAATAATCATAGCTATAGACTAACCCAAAAGTGCACCCGGGTGTCGATTGTAGCTTAAGATTAACATCAAGGTAGACTGTGATTAACAGGATGATGTTTAACTGATTCTTGGACATCTACGTGTATTTTTGTGTTAATCTCAAGCTATGCTTTACGATGGCGACCTAAATGGCATGATTACTCGAAAAAAACAGAATTCCCTGAAGATGACGTTTACCTTACTCCTGGACACCCGGATGCATTGTAGGGTTAGTCATCTAAATCAATGATTATTCAGTAGAAATCAAAATTCCCTGAGGATGATTTTCACTTCTCCTAGACACCTGGGTGCACTTTAAGGTTAGTCTACAGCTAATGTTATTCGATAGAAACAAAACTTCTCTTATTAATTGACTCCGGGGCATCCAGATTCGAGTTCTCGAATTTTTTCGAGCTTTATGTGAGGCTCGACTCGGCTCGAGCTCGAACTGAGTAGGATCGGCTAGGCTCTAAAAACGAAAAGCTCGACCGAGCCTCGAGCTTCGAGCTTTTTGCACACCTCTATTAAAAATTTATCTATAATTGCTGATATTATTGTTGGGTTGCTATCCTTTTTGTATACCTATAAAAATATATTTTATGTAACTTTAAGAATAAGTTTCTATAAATTTAATTTTTTACCAAAAAATGTTTAAAATATTTGTTATCGTATTTATTCTATGTTCATTGATGTCATCATAAAATTTTGCTATGAAAACAGTTTTGTCAATATATCTAGACTCTACTATTAAATTCTTATAGACATTCTTAAAACTAATTAATACTTGCGATTTTAGATAATAGAAAGCTGTTATTTATTTAATTTTAGTGAAGGAATCAGGACTTATTCTACTGCAAACTATACCGAATCATATCAACATTCAATCGCTTAAAAGAGAGGCCTTAGAAGCTTTTCCTGGTGTCGTAAATATTCATGATTTACACGTTTGGCAACTAAAAAATGAACATGTTATATCCACTGTCCACATAATTTTTTTAGATTCAACAGTAAGAACTTATTGAAATTATTACTATCCACTCGCTTTGTCACTTTTTAATTAAATATATTGCTTCCTCATAGAGGAAAGATTGTATTAGCAAAATTTTTTATTGTGATTTTTTGACATATTTACAAACTTTTTTTCATTATACCTAATCTTTTAGTACTTTATGCACGAATGGGCGTTGCCTGTATAAATGTTATAAATAAGCATAAAAAAATTTTTATGTAATTTTATCTCAGAAGTCCAAAAAACGGATTTTAAAAAATTGTCCCGATGTGTGTGTACTAACATTACATTTGCCTCAATATCTCAGAACGATAAAGAGCTAAAGGCCTCAATTTTTTTTAAATTGTAGGTCTCTCCGGGGGACATAAAATGAGAGTATTTTCAACCCGATTCATAAGGTATAACTATATTTTTTTTTCATTTTTCATTTTGTAAAAAAAAGTTTTTTGGCCATAACTTAAAAAAAATGTTAGGACACCTATAAATATTTTTCTTTAGTTTTGTAGAGTTTTTTCAGGCGTATCTTTTGAGCCTTCATTGAACATTTTTCGTCTATATTAGCCAGAGATATTAAAGTTTTAAAAATCTAAATTTTTTGAAAATAACACTTTTTTGACAATTTTGTTGAAAAATATAAAAGTAATTTTAAAAATATCATTACCAACTTGTAGAGCATTAAAAAACGCTTTGATTGACATATTTTTGAACCTGATTCGGTCAGAAATTATCAAATTATTGGTATTTGAAAAATCAAAAATTGTGGAAAATATCATTTTTTCAACAATCTTGTTTATTAACCTATGTGTAATTATTAAACAATTATAACCATCTTATAGAATATATAAAAACATATTTCTTTGGACCAAGATTTAATGATTTTTAACTCTTTTATAAAAATTAATTCTTATATTTCAATTATTATTATTTCTATGAGGAAGCAAAGTGTTTATGAAATGAACACCAAAATTATAAAAGTGTACATCTTGGCAGCGGTTTTTTTTATTTTTGTTTGGTAACTTTTTGTATCTTTTTTAAAAGTACGCTTTTGCGCTAACTTAGAAATTTAAAAACTTCGGTTTAAAAAAAATATTGCATTTAATACAGGTAACTGCATATTTCCTGTTTGCACGCACGCCTTTCTAAGCATATAAGCAACAGGGTGGTTCTTATTTTGGCGAAATTCATGAATCTCCCGCCTACACTCAGTACAGTTAGAGCTTCAAAAAAGCTGTTCTTTTAGGAATTTTTTGTGGCCACACTTTAAAATAATTAATAACAAATCTTTTTCCACATAAAATATATATATTTCAAGAAAATTTTCTGAAATTATAGTCCATAAATATAAAGAAATATGCGAATGATAGAACATTTGCGTGAGCTCCTTAAATAAAAATGGTTTCGCGGTGATCACGCTATCTCTTGACTGTATCATCTAAAATCAAATCGGGAAGAAGAAATCGTTAGGAAATGATATAATGCAGTACTTGAACGAAGTGATTTAAAAAATTTTGATTTTTTGCAAAATGGCGGATGTTGAAAGTCAAAAATTGTTTTTTGACAAAAATTTTACTCACATTTTCAGCTATAAAAAAAAAATTGTCAAAAAAAATCCTTCGTTCAAGTACCGGCCAATTATATAACAAATAAGTGGTAAAAATTGCAAACCGATCGGTAAAGCCGTTCTCAAGTTACAGTGATCACCGACTCCCAAAACATGGTTTTGAGAAAAACGAGATCAAAGTTTTGAATCCCGCCGCCTGGCCACAGTAACGGCTGAGACGGCTCCATTCAAAATTCTATATCTCCATAAATAATAGTCCGATTTGTCTCAAATTTTCAGAGAATACTTTTGAAATGGTATACTTTCAGAAAATGCATTTTTAAATCAAATTTTGAACTGTAAATACATGTAATTTTAAATAAAAATCACGCAATATTTTTTGAAGCTCATAAAAATTTACTAAAATTGATCAAACATGGAATTTTTATAGTACATTATAATATGTTTAAATAAAAATTGTATATATTTTTTGGGAAATATCTTTTCTACTTAGAAGCTTAATAAATGGCTATATCACAAGAGTAGCAATGATCGAAAGGCAAGGCTTAAAGTACAGTAATACGAACTTATGCATGCGTGGGTCCTCGCGTGGGCTTGTATTTGTCCGTTTACACTACGAAGAAGATTTGGTAACCAGGGCCAGCGGAACGATTTTTTCCCAGGTGTGGAGTTGCCGATATCCTAAGCAAAAGCGGGGGGGGGGGGTTAGCAGCAAAATTTAACTTGCGTTGAGAATAAAATATGTTTAATTTATTTTGTTCGTACACATATAAAAAACAATTATGCACATTGCACATCGTATATTGTTTCTTCTTATAAAAGGGCAAATGTACTTCTTCTTAACTGATTACAGCAAATAAATTTATTTATGATATTTACTCGACTATAATTATTTTGAAGTAATTCATCCACCAAATCGGAGTGCACGTGCAATACAGTAACGTGATTTAACCTTTTTGCTTTCATTGAAGTTCTTAAATGATTTTTTAATCTTCGCATTGCGGAGAACGATCTCTCAGCAGTAAATGACGAAGCTGGTATAGTTAAGAGAGGTTTTATAAATTTCACGTACTCTGGTATTAAATCTGCTAGGTTTCGATTCATTTTTAAGTAATTTACATTGTTTTGTAATGACTCGATTTTTATATTCTTAGAAGTAATTTGATCAAGAAACATCTAACGATGCAGAGATAAGCGTTCGGAGTCGAAATCTTTCGTATAAACTGATGTAATTGCAGTCAAATTCGAATTTTTCCCAGTCGCATAACCTTCAAATTCTTCTAAGAGTTTAGAAGTTTCACACTCAAATCTATTTTTCATCGACATAGTAACTTGATCGATCAACTCCAAAAAATTTTTTTGATAATATTCTTTTGGAGTAGAATAAGTGTGTGCATTGTTCGCATTAGAATCAATCCGTGTGGATTTCTTGCGTTGACGAGGAATTTCTGGTTCAGGTAGATCGAGTGCAAATGAACCTTCAACAGCTTTCTTCCAAGCCTCATCAAATCCAGAAATTCTAAGTTTTTGTAGGTGCCCTGTCACAATTCGAATTTTTTCATGCGCTTCGCTGATACTAAGCTCACACTTTTGGAGCTCAGCGTTTAAAACCTCTACTCTCTCTAAAATTAAAATTACGATAGTGAGAAAAAAGTAGAACTCGAAAGTGTCCATGGATTTATATAGCCCAGCAGCTTTAGAAGATACATGTGAATGTGATTCACGGTCGTCATGCTTTTCTTCAAAAAATTCTAGACAAGCATTGTATACAGTTTTGTTGTGCATCCTTTTTGCCGATTTGATGCGCAGCAACCACCTTGTTGGACAAAACGGCAATGGATCTGGACTATCATCGGTGAAAAATTCTTTAAATTCTGCTAATCGTTTAGGAGAATCTCGAATAAAATTGATCGCTTCTTTAAGAATGTCAAAAAAGTTTTTAATTATTGTGATATTTTCCACGGCATCTTAAACAATTAAGTTGACCTTATGAGGTCAGCAATGAACGTATAAAGCTGTTGGTTCATCTTCTCGTATACGCTTCTGAAGACCAGATAAATCACCAGCCATATTTGCCGCTCCATCGTAGCACTGTCCACGTAAACGAGTAATATCTAATTCAAACGTAATCAAAATATCTTTTATAACTTTATAGAGAGTGGCAGATTTCGTATCATGAATTTCGTAAAATCCTAAAAAATCCTTCTCGATTATCAAGTCTTTGGAAACAATTCTTATAGAAAAAGAAAATTGCTCTTTACGCGATGCATCTGATGCTTCATCTCCAATGATGGCGTAGAACTCTGTACTTCTAATTTTTAAAAGTATTTTTAAAATAATTTCCTGAGACATAACTTGCAAAATTTCATCCACAACATCATGATAAAGCCATTTTTTAGTTCCGCTACCCTGAAACTGTAACCATTCTTTCAGTTCCGGAACATCTGCTCGTGTTTTGAGGAACTGAATGAAATTCAAATTTTCATCATTTTGGTCTCCACGCAAAGACAGGCCTTGACGCGCAAGAAAAGTTGCGGTACTAAATATTTTTTCCAATACAACGCGCGCCTTAAGCATTTCTTGATTCTTTGCTGTTAAAATTTGTGTACAAATACTAGGCTTCGACTTAGAAGGCCAGAACCAGTAGCAATATAAAAATTGCTTTTCTCATGCCCTGCAAGCACAGTCATTAAAATACTAAAAAACTTCGATTCCACTTGTGTGAAATTTCAGACTTTTTATAGGTTAGTCATAAAGTTTGAACGAATTAATAATCAATTAATAATCAAATGTATAATAGCTTAATTTTAATTATCTGCTTCAGTTTACTGGATGAAAACGGCAAATGTGAAATACGCGGAAAACATATTTTTTGCCCAAAAAATAACTACGATTAACGAATATAAAAATCGTTTTACAAAATAATAAAGATGAATCACAAAAGACAGAGTTGAATACTGTCAAAAAATAAATTGACGCATGCGCAGTTCAGAAAATTTTCAAAATTTTAATTATCTAAATTCTAATTATCCTAGCTGATTTGACCAGGGAATGCAGAGTTACTTTTACAAAGTTTGGATTTGTGAAATTGACCAGGGAAACTTTTTGAATTTACTGAGAATCCTAATTAATTTTACTAGGTTAAGATTAACTCTGGGTTTATAGTTAATAATACCATAAAGATTTTTTTCAGTGTAGTGAAGTTGACCGTATATGAAGCCATTCATGCTAAAATTATTTAAATTTCTTTGTAATCTTTGAAAATGTTTTTTTAATACCTTGATTAATTTTTCGGGTAGAGACTAAAGATTTATGAACTTTGTCAAAATAAGAATCACCCTAATAAGAAGATACGAGTTTGTATTAGAAATAATACAAATATTATGTAGGCGAGGCTGACTGATTTCAGTTAGTCTAATAAATTTTAAATCATTATG